ACAACATGGTCTACTACTAGTTCAGCTCCACTCAGGAAACCAGGAAGACACTAAATATCTTTTCTTTTTACCTGTAAATCTAAGGCATGGCTTCTTTAAAATAAGGAAAAATGTTATAAGCTTAATTTTGTTGTAAAGTTGAAATAATACTTTTGAATCTTCTTGTTTCAAAGCAAGATCTTAGTACATACTTAATTACATATTGAGACATCAATTCCAGTAAGGAGAAGAACATTAACATTGTTGAACTCTTTCATCATCCCCAAAGAAACTCAACCTTCAGAATAAAACGAGAAATTGAGAGAGCATTGTAAGTCAAAATAAGTACAAGAAATGGGAGTCACTCGTTCCCTATTGAGTTCTTGGAAAAGAGCCTTCGATAGGACAAGAATCTTTCCCTATCTCCCCGGAGATAGCATAGTTTTCTGTGGTGCCTATTACAGAAATATTAAGCCCAAAAGTGTCCTATCCTAAAATACTCATTAGCCATAAAACTTTTCTTTCTCCTTTATAGCTGTCGTAGGTTTAGAAATAAGTTGCTTCCCCCTAGTCTGGGCTCATGCTGGGGTTGTAGTATATAACAACTCTCCCAGTATAACATTGTATGAAACTGGCTTTCATCAGTCTGGTCTGAAATGCTTTCCTCCTGCAAAATACCTTAGGAATTATGTTATGAAATAAGCAATCTTTACTATGTTATGTAAAAATCCTGTTTTTGATCATTACTGTGTTCTCATTTGATTTTTTTTCAAAAATTGAGGTTCTTATTAGCTAAACAACTTTAATAAAAAGATAACATGTGCTACAGAAAAGTCTAAATATCAACTTTGATAATTTTCTGCCACAGAAGTTATTTGCTTAATGATCTTGGAGAAAGATTTTAATATTTAAAGATCCAGGCTTTTATCTGGAGGAAGAGACATTCTATTCTCCTAAAATGGCAAGATGATTTTAGAGGATTTGGAGTTAGAAAGTTCTGGGTTCAAATGTAGCACAATACGCAAGTTCTTTAACATCTCTAGGATTTATCCATAGAATAGTCATATCTAATTTCAGCATGCAAGGGTGGGGGAAAGACAAGAGGTAGACCTGGTATGGGGAGGGGGAACGGCCCCAGTGTGGCTGCATTGACACCCAATCTGCTGTCACCAAGTCTCTATTCAGGAAATTTGAGTACCTGTTTATCCATCACAAGGACACAAGACAATTGTGGACTCTGACAGTTTCATGATAGATGTTGAGAAAGATGTTGAAACTTGTATTTTGTCTGTTTTGAAAGTAAAATCATCTAATTAGTTGCAGAGAAATTTATTTATTTAAATCATAAAGATATTACAGGTATATACAGAAAATGAAACAAATTCATAGCAAGGAGATAGAATTTATATCAACACACTTGGACCTTTGCTGGGTAACCTTAGACACATAGGGGTTTAAATTCCTCTTAGTGAAAATAGATAACTGCTTAAAACAATAACACGCAAAGAAAACATCTTTAGCAATATGGGTAAGTCAAATATTTCATAAGCTTAGCAAGGAAGACTATAATAAAATCACAAGTAACTGACCAGATTTTCCTTCCTGCACATATAATTCACAAAATTCATTAACACAGAAAATTAAATGAATTGGAATTACATCATAAAGTTGGATATATAGCTTTGAGGACACAACTAACATTTTAAATGTATGTGTTTCTAAGAAAATACAAAAGGAATATTCATGGAGGTATATATCTCTTGAATAAAGTAGAGAGGATATCCATCAGGATAAGGGCAGGAGTCAGGCTATGGAGTAAAGGAGAGAAAATATTCAGTAATATAAAGACAAGATTTGCCTTGATCAAGCATGACTGTTATTAGGAAGGAAACAGGCATTTAAATTTGGATGCAAGGTCTAACAATATCATGTTTAAATAACTATAAATCATTATAGACAATGCCTGTGTGCTTTCTAAATTCAGTAATTATTAGCTGACAAGTGTGCATGTTTGAATAGTGTAAATATCGAGAAAATAATTTCAAGAGCCTCAGCCAGAATTCCTCACCATAGAAATAATGGCTTGTGAGAAACAAAATCCCTTTAATGATAGGAAAATCTGTGTCTACTGCTTTTCAAGATGAAGAAATGGAAAGTGAAATGCAATAAAGGAAAGTAGACTTCTAAGATTTACACAGTGAGTTGATAACTAAGCAATACCAGGAGGGTCTTACAAAAAAAACTGGCTCATCCTGGCCCCTGCTGCAAGAGAGAGGTGGTGGGATTAACCTGGAAAGCCATATCATATGTGGTATGGCAGGGTTGCCTTCCCTGTAGAAACTGCTGGTTGGAGCTCAAAGGGGCTCTGGACTCAAGAACAGCTTCTACTAAGCCTTCATTAAAGGTCTGCACCATTTGTTGTTACATTATTAAAATTAATAAGACCATCAAGATCTTACAGATGTACAGACTTTGTAGGGCTTCATTTCAAGTTCAGGTCCTATTGGAAATCATTCTCGCAGTAGAACAGAGAAATAATTGGGGACCCTCTCAAATCTACAGGACCTACTGCTAGTCTCAAATCTACAGACTACTATTTCTTTGACTTTTGAACAGCCATTAAATTATCTGGGTGTCATTTTTCTCATCAGCAAAATAATAACAATCGTAAATCATGTCACAAGGCATGAAAGCAAGCACAGACATTCACAGTTATTAAAATGTATGAAAATAAAGGTATTATGCTGAACTATCAGGTTTTAATTGTGTGGGTTATATTTTCACAGTGGAAGTCTCATGTCACAGAAATAAAATTCCGGGTTATGCTGATGGAAAGGAATTTCTTCATGATCTAATTTGGATAATTATAGATTTGGCTGTATATTCGGGGACTCCAAGTTAGGAATTTCCAACCTAAAGTAGTTGGTGTGGAATGAAGAAGCTGATCAAATTGTCCAAAAGTTGCAGTAAAGGGTAGAAGAAGCAGAGATTTGGCTGGAAATTGCAGCTCTTTCATGAGTAAGGGCAAAAGATAGTTTAACACATCTGGTTTTATTTTCTTATCTGAATCTAAGACAGTACATCTGTACAGTAAAATTATTGTCAAGAACATATAAAATATTACAAGTAGAAGGTGATTGATAGCAATGATTTTCAAGAAATAAAATATAAGTGTTTTGGTTTTCTTTAAAAAGCTCCCAGTGGCCAATTTAATATGAGGTACTTTCATGAAAATCCTGGATAGAGTAAAAAAATGGTCAACAAAGAGCAGATGGTGTGATGATGCAAGTCAGATCTGGGCCATATGGCAAGAAGGAATTTTAGGAATGCAAAAATTGCCATGACTCAACATATAGAAAATGAAATATAATCTCTTTAAGCAATCAGTACAGAACAAGAAAAGAACATTACATTTTACTTGATGTTTGAAAGCTTCTTCTGGAAGCAACAGAAGTTTAGTGACAAATTCTCCTCTATACCTCCAATTATACAATTTTGTCTTTGGCATAAGGCATGTATGCAATCATATGACAGAAACACCACTTACAATATTCAAAACCAAGCCCATAATCAAAGTATAAAAAATTTACCTACACTAGTGAGTACTGCTATGTAAATGGGGTAAAATAATGAAGATTTTTAATGGTACATAAAAGAGAAGTGGGAAGAATTTCCTTATCATATTTAGTAAAAGCACAAATTTGTCAATTATTGAAATAAATATATATGTGTGTATACACACAGAAAAACAAATATATAAATAAAATGCATGCATTATGCTAGCTAAAGTTGATGATGATACTGGCAAAAGGCTTATATTATTTAGCTCCTTCTATGTTCTGGAAACTGCTCTTCTCTATTTATAGGGAGAAAACTACTTAATATTCTAAATACTCTAATGATACATGTATGCCTTTTTTCATGTTAGGGATAAGAAATCAAGGCCCAGAAGTTTAGATTGAGATAGACAGATGATAGATGATAGATAGACAAGTAGAGTAGAGATACAAGAAAAAAATCTAGGAGGAACAAGAGCAAGTAAGTAATGTGGTAAAAGACAAATCATATTTTCTTTAATGTAAAGAATCTAGATGTGTATGTTTTTGTGTGTGTGTGTGTGTGTGTGTGTGTGTGTGTGTGTGCACGCCTGCCATAAAGAGATGGATGGAGGCTATTTGAAGATTTAAAGGAATAAAGAAGATAGATAGATATGGGTAGAAGGGAGGTGGGACAGTGTAGAGTAGGAGGATCATGAAAATAAGAACAGGATACCATGACATATATATACATATATATGACACATCTATATTCTATAATGAAACCAATTATTTTGTATGCTAAATAAGTTATGATCAAAAGGAACTGAAGCACAATGGAGTTAGATAACTTGACCAAAGGAACTGAAGTAAAAGATAAGATTACTACAAGATTGAATATACTTGGAATTATGGTGTAACAAATACTGCAAATAAATGAAGTGTAGTATATTAAAGATGATGCCTTCTGATCTGGAGTGATAAAGACTGGAGTAAAATGAAAAGCTTCTAGATATCAGTAGTATCTAAATAGACCATTTTGTCTTGCTGGGTAGTCAAATAATTAGAAAAATTTATGGATGTGTGCAATAAGGGATTAGTCAACACAAAGAACAGGCTATTTATTCCATGTCAAGAAGGCTTTTAAGAGAACATGATTAAACTGTTACAAGTGTCTAGAGGGCTAAAAGTAAGATCAGGGAACAAATTGTAAAAAGTAACAGAATCCGGGTCCTAAATGAGAATTAATATGTTGAATTGTTGGTTGATAGAGGTTCATATTTGAACCAGATGGTCTTCTAGTAGGTGTGAGAGTGTTGACACTGAGGAAAAGACATCTTGGTCTTTTTCAAATCTTAGGAGCATGTGCCTCTTATCTTTACAGAACATTTCAAATTCACAACAGAATTAATCAGAAAAAGAAGTTTTAAAGAAAAAAATATGTTCTATAAAATTAAGATCCAGAACTTCCAAAACTAAGAAAAAGATTTTGCCCTTCAATTCTGGTTTCTTTACAATTCACTCTTATCTTCTGATAGACAAACTGTCAACATTGAATCCATGGCAAAGAATAACCTCACCATACTAACTGAATTCATCCTAATGGGCTTTACTGACCACCCTGAGTGGGAGATTCCCCTTTTTCTGGTGTTTCTCAGCTTCTATCTTGTCACCATCCTGGGGAACTTGGGCATGGTCCTGCTCATCCAGGTAGATGTCCAACTCCACACACCAATGTACTTCTTCCTGAGTCATCTCTCTGTGTTGGATGCCTGCTACACATCAGTCATCACCCCTCAGATCCTGGCTACACTGGCTACAGGCAAAACAGTCATCTCCTATGGTCACTGTGTTGCCCAGTTCTTCTTCTTCACCATCTGTGCAGGTACAGAGTGTTTCCTACTGTCTGTGATGGCCTATGATCGCTATGTTGCTATTAGCAACCCACTGCTCTACACTGTGGCCATGAGCCCTCAAAGATGCTGGTGTTTGGTAGTGGGAGCCTATGTCTGTGGAGTATCAGGGGCCATCTTAAGAACCACATGTACCTTCTCCCTCTCCTTCTGTGAAAATAATCAGATCAATTTCTTCTTTTGTGACCTTCCACCTCTGCTGAAGCTGGCCTGCAGTGACACAACAAATGCTGAGATTATAATTGTCTTTTTTGGGAACTTTGTCATTTTGGCCAATGCCTTCATCATACTCATTTCCTACCTGCTCATCATCAAGGCTGTCATGAGAATGAAGTCTTCAGGTGGAAGAGTTAAGACTTTCTCTACATGTGTCTCCCACCTCACTGTTGTGGCTCTTTTATTTGGGACCCTCATCTTCATGTACATACGGAGTGGTTCAAGAAAATCCCTGGAAGAAGACAAAATTGTGTCTGTCTTCTATACTGTGGTCATTCCCATGCTGAACCCTCTAATCTACAGTCTAAGAAACAAGGATGTGAAGGCTGCCTTCAAGAAGGTCATTGGTAGATGCCAGATGTCCCACAACATACAACACTAAGTAAAAAGATCTCTTATGTTAGTCAAGTTTGTCTGGAGTACCCTAATAGACATCAGATGTTGTACCCATAAATAGAGAAAAATTAGATAAGTGATAACAGGCAAGGAAATACATAAATGTGGTAAACTTTTTGTGCAAATATTCTACAATGATTTATTTTTGTCCCTATCTGTAACTTTCAGTTCATCCTGTCACTATGATTCTTTAGAGAATCCAATGCCAAGGGATTTAGAGTTACATCAGCTGACCACAATTTGTAATGCCTTTTCCCTCTTGTCTTTGCTTCCCCTAACATTACTGTGCTTTCTATATCAAAGAATTCATCTGATTCCTCTAAATTGGACTAATCGAACTTGTTCTGGGTTTCTTTTAATATGTCACCCAAAAAGTCAAAAAGTATTGTACAACACAGACCTCTGTCTTCATTGCAATGTCTTCTTACTTGCTCAGGTCAGAAGAACTTGCAAATGTCTTGCTACTTAGTATCCACTAGATTTCTGATTCCTTCTTCCATGTTATAGTGATATCATTGAGATGAAGTTAAAAGTTTACTTGTATGAAGGCCTCCACAAAGTCCAAGTGTAGGTTCTGAAGGACACAGGAATTGCTGATTCCTCTCACCCTACTGTCTAACTTCTGAGAAGTTCTCTCCAGGCATTGTATAAGTACTGAAATTTTAGTGAGGATAGAGACATATACACAACTGAACTATGCATTTCCTCTGGGAACAAAGATTTTTTCTGAAAGTAGTTGTATCTCCTCCACCAAGCTGTCAAACCTTTAAAGCAAAGTATTTTCCTTAATTTCTACATGTACAAATTTTTACATGTACAAAATGTAAATTTATTAGAGTACACAATATTTTGGGGAACACAATACCACCACATTTCCTCTCTTTTTGTCTAAAATTAAAAAAGCTTATAACTAATACAAGAAAAACTATCTTCAATAAGTATATGCAATATACAGTCAAAATTACATTAACAATGTCTAGTCCATTAACATTTGACAGATTCAGTTAAAAAACTCCATTATATATATTAACAATGTCCAGTCCAGTAACATCTGATAAACTCAGACCAAAAATTTTTCATTACTTATCTTATTTAAAACAAGCAGTTCCTTTTTAAAAGTATATTCCATAATCTCTCCAAAGTTCAAAACAGACAAGTTTTAAATCACTGCTTTTGTAGTAATTTGTAAATGGTATGCATGATCACCATAGTCACTCTGTCAAGCAAATGAAGATATGGCTAGATACAAAATTTCCATGTTACAATTTAGAAAATATTTACTTACTTTTCTGTCAACCCTTTCAGGCTTCCCCCATAGCCTATTTCAATATCTTTGTGTCAGTTGATGACACCCAGAAATACTTTTCAACCAGGGATGCCAGTGGTACAGTGGGCTAAGCATCCAATAGAAAACTCTCATTAAATTTCCAGTTCTCCATTACACTCTGTTCAGACTCTTAGTACTATACCAGCATTCTCGTAGGAGTCTCTTATCCCACTCCACCTCCATTCACTGAAAAATCCACTGCTTAGTGCAAATTTTTGGTAGCCCTAGACCTTTAATCCTTATATCTCTAGACTGACTCTTTTTCCTACTGTAGCCTGCTTGAAGGAACCCCTTCCTCAATCATATACCAATCCCCAGGGACTCAACATCTTGGTGAGAAGAGATACCCCTCGCTCTTTTCCACAGTCTCTCTAAGCTTTCCTTCTAGACCATCTCTATTCTTTTCTGCTGCCCACCAAATGGCAGAAGCAGTCTCTACTGAGGAAGTCACAGCCACTATGATTGCCTGGGATCCACAGGGAGCAACAACAATCAAAAACAGAATATCCAACAAACAAAAAAACAAATACCAAAGGCTGACACCAAGAAACACCTCAACTTAAGAGTTCTAGATGCTTAGAACACAGCACAAAATCACAAACATGAACAGCCAAAACAATGTCCACCAGAATGCAGTAATCTTCATACAGTAGGTCCTGAGAAATGCAATCTAGCAGAAGCACAAGACAAGGACCTCAAAATAGCAATCACTGAAAATTTCAAGAACCTTAAATATGATATGAATAAGTACCTTAATGAAGACCACGAAAATACAAAGTAAGAGTTGATGAAATAATAAAAACAGTTTGTGATATGAAAAAAGAAATAGAATAACTGAAGAAAATCCAAACATTAATAAAACTGGAAATTAAAATTGTAGGAGTTAAACAAAGTCCTCAGAGCTAGGCCTCACCAATAAATTATAAGATAAAAAATAGAGGATTTCTGGAATTGAAGCCAAGATAAAAGAAGAAATGGTTACCTCAGTCAAAGAAAATATTAAATCTAAAAAAAAACTGGGCTCAAATGTACAGAAAACTTGAGACACTATGAAAAGGCCAAATCTATGAAAAATAGCATTAGAAACAGGAGAAGAAACCCAGGTCAAAAGCACAAAAAATATTTTTAATAAAATCATAAAAGAAAACTTGACCAACCTAAAGAAGGAGGTGCCTGTCAAGGCACAAGAATCATACAGAACATCAAATAGAAAGGGAAAGAAATGAACTCCTATGACACATAATAATAAAAGCATTAGATATACAGAATGAAGAAAGTATATTAAAAGCTTCAAAGGGAAAAGACCAAATAATATATGAAAGCAGGCCCTTTAGAATAATGCCTGGTTTCTCAATGGAGATTTTGACATACAGAAAAGTCTGGCCTGAGAGACCAGACAAGCCAGCCCAGACTATTAGATCCAGCAAAACTACTAATCACATTCAATAGAGAAAGAAAAAATTCCTTGATAAAACTAGATTTAAACAATTACTAACTACCAATCCAACTCTACAGAAGGCATTAGAAGAAAAACCAGTTTGAAAGAGTTAACCACACCCAAGATAGCATAAGAAATATATAACCTCAAACCAGCAAATCAAAGGAGGAAAAACAAAACAAAACAACAACAGCAAAAAAGCAAAACAAAATAACAACAGCAAAAAACACATAACATTATAACTACAAAATAACAGGAATCAATAAACACTGCTGGAGATAGGCTGTCTGCAGACCTCAAATTTTCCAGACTCAATCTCTCAGTCTAATCCCAAGAACTGCAACAGAACACCAGATGCAGCTTCCTTTCCCCCTGCCCACATCTTCTGTAGATCCCCCAGACTATCTATTCCTAACCTCCCTCTTTCACTCTTTGCTATATCCCAGCCCAGCAACTCAAACAGGCACCTCCTGCTTAACCAAAGGCCATGCATGCAAAAGGGAAAAAAGAAAAGAAAACAGGTAGGCTGCCCCTTTTCTTTCTCCCTGTTCACCCAGAAGCAATCCATCATTCTCCCTAGTTTGCAAACAGACACCAGCTACAGCCTTCCTTCCCCCCTGGCCACATCACCTTTGGATCTCACAGACCATCCCCTCCTAACTCCACTCCCCCTTCTGGACTCCCCATTTGTCACTGTATCCCAGCCTCCAACACCAGCAGACATTCTCTGTGAACACACCAGCTGAGCAGCCAAGTAAAACAGGCAACCTATAGCCATCACAATAAAAAAGAAGAAAAAGAAGGAGGAGGAGGAGGAGGAGGAGGAGGAGGAGAAGGAGAAGGAGAAGGAGAAAAGGAGAAGGAGGAGGAGGAGGAGGAGAAGGAAGGAGAAGGAGAAGAGAAGGAGAAGAGAAGGAGAAGGAGAAGGGGAAGGGGAAGGGGAAGGGGAAGGAGAAAGAGA